ACCAATAACGATAACTATATTAACATTCATACCAATAACGGTAACTATATTAACATTCATACCAATAACGATAACTATATTAGGGTTCACACCAATAACGGTAACTATATTACCGTTCACAACAATAATGATAACTACAACAATAACTATATTAGTGTTCACATCAAAAATGATAACTTTCACTAACAATCACACCAATAACGATAACTATATTAACGTTCACAACAAAAACAAAAAATATATTCGCGTTCACACCAATAACGATAACTATATTAGCGTTCACAACAAAAACATAAAATATATTCGCGTTCACACCAATAACGATAACTATATTAGCGATCACACCAATAACGATAACTATCAATAACGATAACTATATTAGCGATCACACCAATAACGATAACTATATTAGCGTTCACACTAATAACGATAACTATATTAGCGATCACAACAATAATGATAACTACAACAATAACTATATTAGTGTTCACATAAAAATGAAAACTTTACTAACATTCACACCAATAACAATAACTGTATTAACATTCATACCAATAACGGTAACTATATTAACATTCATACCAATAACGATAACTATATTAACATTCATACCAATAACAGTAACTATATTAACATTCATACCAATAACGATAACTATATTAACATTCATACCAATAACGATAACTATATTAGGGTTCACACCAATAACGGTAACTATATTACCGTTCACAACAATAATGATAACTACAACAATAACTATATTAGTGTTCACATCAAAAATGATAACTTTCACTAACATTCACACCAATAACGATAACTATATTAACATTCATACCAATAACGGTAACTATATTAACATTCATACCAATAACGATAACTATATTAACATTCATACCAATAACGATAACTATATTAGGGTTCCCACCAATAACGGTAACTATATTACCGTTCACAACAATAGTGATAACTATATTAGAGTTCACAACAAAAACAAAAAATATATTCGCGTTCACACCAATAACGATAACTATCAATAACGATAACTATCAATAACGATAACTATATTAGTGTTCACACCAATAGTGATAACTATATTAGCGATCACACCAATAACGATAACTATATTAGCGTTCACACAACAAAAACAAAAAATATATTCGCGTTCACACCAATAACGATAACTATATTAGCGATCACACCAATAATGATAACTATCAATAACGATAACTATATTAGCGATCACACCAATAACGATAAATTAAGCTTTAGCGTTAGTTCTGGCAGGTCACGTGAGTCAAGCTTGCATCAGCTGATTCTCAGCTGATCACATCTACCTATAGGAATACGACACCTATCGCGGCATTCCTATATAAGCTGTATTCAGTATTATTCAGCAGCTTTTTAGCTTGCTTCGGAGAAATTACCCTCCTCCATCCCCAGCTCCACCTTTCGCCACAGTCAGGACTTAGCTTTCTGATATTCCTTGCTAATCAGACTCCTTTATCTTGAATAAAGTGTTACACTTAAATATCATTGAGTACATTAATGATATCTGCATTGTTCTGTTCTGTTAACCCTAGGGGGGTTATTATTGCTGCTCTCCCTGCTCATTCATGACAGGCTGCATGGATGGGCAGGGAGGTTTTTTGCCCAGAACAGAACCATACCGCCAAACCAAACTTTATGCTAAGTATCTATCATTCTGACGATAGTGGTCCTGACAGAAGTGTAAAGTAATATGGCTTGCCCTTTTAGGTGCTTTGACAGATGCGTGTGCTGTCCAATGCATACAGCAGGCATTTCCATATAGGTAAGTTAGGTATGTAAATGTTAGAAATGACAGCAAACTTCACAGATTTAACCAAGCGAGCATGAGTCCGAATGAACGCATGTGTGTCAAACTAACGGAGAGCTACGGAAAGGGAGCAAAATATTTCTAAATAAAACATAGAGTGCAGCAGAAATTACATATTTTTGCCAACTCGGAAGTTAGCATCACCCTGGTTACCTCAATAAAACCCAATAGAATTTTGCCATTGCCTTTTGGATTATTGCAGAAAATAAGGTCTGTGACCAACAAAAGTTTCTGATTCTTTCAGGTTTTATTCATCATTATAATCTTCAAAAATGAACACAACTTTTATAAATGTTGAAGCCTAAATACAATTGCTACACTCTCAGAAAAAAAGGTACAAAAGCTGTTACTGGTGCTGGTATCCTAAGAACTCTATGCACCCCTATATATATATATATATATTAAAAGTAGGGCTGCACGATAAATCGCATGCGATATTTAACGCGCATCTTATCAGTAAAGCCAGTTCTGTAATCAGCGGTAAATCTCCATCACGTGCGTGCTTTCACATGGAGCAGCATTAACTACACAGAGCCGTTGTTCACTGACGAGCTGTGCAAAACCACGATCATATTTGTGCGATAATATTAAATATTTATATAAATATATAAGTGGCCTGTAATAACTCAACTAATATATCTATTTTAAAACAATACGTTACATTAGACTTATGGGACCATAAAATCATAAAACATCAAGTTGGATACTATACTAGTTTACTAGACACACAAGTCAGAAACGTCTTGTGCTGCAAACCTTATCTTAATGATCTGCCCTTCGTCTGAGATTAAATAATCGATCTGAGCCCCTAGACGAGGAGAAGAATAAATAAATAATCCAAATAAAATCGCGGACGTACCGAACAAGCGCCGATGGAACAGGAACTTCCCGGCGATGAGGCCCGTGATGATGGCGAGGATCCACATCAGGACCTTGAGGACGTCCCATCCTCCTCCGGGATATTTATTCACCACGAACGAGAAGCAGTTTCCCACCACGATCATGTGCGCTTGCGTCTGGCTGTGCGACACCGGGTCCTCGGCGAAGATCAGGAAGTTGAAGAAGGTGACCAGGTAGGCCACCACCAGACGAGACCAGGGGTGCTGGAAGTAATAGCGGAAGCGGCCGCTGACCTCCATCCGTCGGAGGACACCCAGACACCGTCCGCCTGAAACACAGCACAGAGACGTTTAAACCATTCATGGCTTGATCAATCACTAGTCACTCGCCCTCATGTTCCTCCAAACCCGTAGGACATTCTTTTTGCAGTGGAAGACAAGAAAAGAGACACTTTATGGTACTTTTTACAGTGTATTTGTCCTGCTCACTGTTCGTTTTCAGTGTATGTTAAAGAGCAGCGTGAACATTTGGTGAATCGTCTTATTTTGTGCTCCTCAGAAGGAAGTTCAGGGGACTGAATCTTAATTTTTGGATGAAGTAAGAATTTAGAGAATTATTACAGTTAACTAAAACTGAAACCATAACATTAAAAAAACATAATAATAAAAAAATAAGCAGAATTATGGACACCAGTTTCCACTAGAAATAAAAAAAGGTAATTGCAACTGTTTATCTCACAATTCTGACTTTTTTATTATTATTTAGTGCCAGAAACAGGCATCCATACAAAACAAAACAAAAAATTTATATATATATATATAATTAGAAAAAAACTATTTTATTTTGTCTAGTTGCCAAAGCAATATTTCTAATTTTCATGTATTTCCAAATATCAATAAATGAATAAATAAAGTAGGCATTTAAAACTTATACAAAATAAACACACACAACAAAATTACTTAACTAAATTTAAAGTGAAAATAGAAATGATGAAATTAAAACCTGATATTTCTTATTAAAAAATATTCAGGTCACAAAGCACAAAGTCTACACACTAAGAAAACTCAGCAAAAACAGGGCCCGATGCATTGTGTTATTATAGAATTGATTTTTAAAAAGGAATTGATTTCAAGTGTTTTATCTGACTTATGCATATTTGGAATTGTGCATTGCATTGGTTGTAAATATCCATAAAATCATCAGTACCTTTCCTGTTATTTTTCTACAGTGTATTTTTAGGAGCATTAACATTTCTGCAGTTCTTTCTTTTGATCGTGTTGTGAAATATGACCTGCATCTGATTCAAATGAAAATAGTCTGGAATGATAGAAACCAGGAGTTCATTAAATCTGGACCAGATCTGGTAAAGACAGGCATGTCACACAAACACACTAATGTTGACAGCAACGGCCCGAAATATCTGACATGAGCATGTGTGATGACGCAAGCGTTCTGGAATAACCCACTGCTCAGAAACCATGTGCTGCTGGACCCATTTAACCCGTGTGTGTGAGTGTGTGTGTGTGTGTGTGTGTGTGTGTGAGAGT